CCCCCCCAGGCTGAAGTAACTGACCAATCCCTAAATATATCTGATCTTTGAAACCACTATTTCTGACTGTATACTAATACTATGTGTAGGGCGTTCATTCTTGACTAGGGTGTATGGTGAAGGGTTCCCAGAAACCTGTTTATTATTACCAACCCACCATACCCGCTTCTTATGTTACATTACCTTATTATTATTTTTTTTTCACAAAATTAATAATTTTAGGAAAATTTATTTTAATTGGGTCATCTGATATTTTGAATTGAACTTGTTAGCAGACTAGTTACATTATAAATGAACTGACATTCACCTGTTTCTTTTAGCTCCATGCTTGCTCTATTGCAAAATTTCAAAATTGTTTATGATAATTTAATTAAATAAGGATACCAAGTCAAACCATTGGCGCGTTCATCATGATTTACCAGAGTTGCTTTTTTTTTGATAATTGGCAAACAAATTGTGCTTCTCGTCCTCGGAGATTTGAAAAATAATGCGGTTTTATTTATTATTATGTAATGCTGCAATAAGAAGATAGAATTTAACTTTTGATTTTTGAATAATGTATTGAAAGGTTATTTCGATCCATCTAACATCCTATGAAATAAGAAACAAAAATGTTAATTTTGCCATGTACTGTAGAATACTTTATTTTTGCTTGGAATTTATTTTCGCTGAAGGGATGATTCCGTGAAAATAAAATCCAGCGAATATACTTTTTTTCCTATATTTCACATTAGACTCATCAGAAATCAGTGAAAATAAATTCCATACAAAACGCCCAAAAAGCCTTTTCAGCGAAAATTAATTCCAGCGAAAATAAAGTATTCCACAGTATATAATTGCTAATTGTAAGGTGTGCATGGATTATAACAATCTGGAGCTTTACTATTTTTATGTGTGTACATTTCAGCTAGAATTAGCCAGGGTGTGCAGGAAAATATTGCCATGTAGGTATCTCTCCCCAATATTTCAAATGGACCATCCCTTGATACAATTCAAATATTTCTGTCTATTCAGTAAGCGATAGCTGCTCTAAGGGAAAGGCTGAAGACAAAAGTGGAAGCAATTTGAAGAAATTGGTCACAAATAAAGAAGGGTAAGTTATATTTGTTATTGTTACCATGACAGCATATGTTTGTAAATATTTTTGCCACATTTGTTTGTGTTTACAGACCAAAATAATAAAATTCTCGAATTATTTCTCTCCCAAAATTCAAGTGGAAAGTGAAAGAATTAATATTCAATTGAGTTCAATTAACAGATTTAATTCGCTAGGTTTTAAATTTATTTAAGTGAAGAAAACGGTGATATATTTTACAAGCACCCCCCAGTACATGTATTTTCATTGTGTTATATTCACCACATTTTGTAATTTCTAATTGATAGACAGGTTAATGTTTGATACGCAACTGCTTGCTTTGTACATTGCAGTAATTAAAACGATTCAATTTGTTCGTGTTTCAGACTGAATGGGGTCATTGTAACTCAAGCCATAGTACCTGATGATGTCAGACAAATAAAGGTAATATGAAATGCATTAGAAATGATGAAAATTTTCCCGAACCAAATATCAAATAAATTATAATTTTTAAGTGAACTTTTACCACAGGAAGCCCAGGAACTAAAATCAACTGTAGTACGCAGTCACTATGAGCGCCGGGGGGGGG